CACCCAGACCACTTTATAAAGCTGAAGTGGTCTGGGTGCCTAGAGTGGTCCTTTAACCTAAAGAATGTTACTTAATGCATCTCTGAGGAAATACTTATTAATGAACTTTGTGTTGTTGACTACTTGCACTTCTTCTAATTGGATTTTTGCCTAAATGCAATTTATGTAAGTTTAACACTTATTAAAACTTCATTTGAATCAAGTTACCAGCAATTCTCTCTTTTCTTAAAGCTACAGTATTGATACTTTAAAGATTCTCCGTTTCTTCACTATTGTAATTAGGGAGTTTTACAAGCTGCAGTTGAGTTCCAATCCAAATCACCCAAGTAGCGTATCACTGTATGGACGACTGCAGATAAATTTGACACTCAGAAAAATAAAACATGTTTGGGTTATCTTAATATCCCCGTAACAGTTTCTGAATTACCTGTTGCTCACTTTAGAAAATTACTCCCTGGTGTATTTCACCATATTTCAATCACTGAACTGTATCTGCTGCTGTGATTTCTCATCACATTGTGTGTCCTATGGCCCTGGCTGTATGATGTGTCCTTGTACAAGGGCTTCCCAGAACCTTTTCAAAACAGAAACAACAAAGCACCATGCTCCAGGAGAGTACACAAATCATTTCAGCATTTCAGACCCAAAAGTCCTTACGCCATGTAAAATCTCTTTGTTAAAATTCTGTGTCTCCTTTTAAATTGCTTATAACTTGTTGCCATGTTTTACAACATTGGTTCTGTGCTCCTAAATAGATTTTGCAGTACTGGAGGCTGAAATGTGCAGTCTATATCTTGCAGCAGCAGTAACGAGACGCTGAGATTCTCTGATCATAAGTGTATGCGTTTGTAACTATAAATGTACTTAGCTAGAGACACACTGCATGCATAGCATTCTAGCTCGCATTCTTTTGTGTTGTTTCCTCAGTGTAAATCGGCTTGTTACTCATTTTAACGCGATATCTTTACATCGTTAAAGAACAACTGTCATCAAATTTTCACTTTTCATTTTTAAAAAGTTTATTACATTTAAAGAAACAATGCTATTTTAAAAAATAATGTACATTAATGTTTTAAATGTTAGATTGTCAAGTTAGAACGAGCAGCAGCTGGTCAGATAACAGTAGAGTCTGACCCAACATGGCCGCTCAGCCAGATAAAAAGTAACATTTTCTCAAAAAGAAAACAATATATAATTTTTTTTTTTTTTAAATCATTGTTTAATTAAATGTAATAAACTTTTGAAAAATGAGATGTGAACATTTGATGACATTTGTCCTTTAAGGTGATAGAGACACACATATAATATGGATAGGGCCCTGGAAACAGGTGGCAGCATTCTGTTAGAGTGCTTATATCTCTGTTTTAATGTCTCTGTTTGTCTATTGCTACCGTTAGATGTCACTGTATGAACAAACATTATTGAGAGGACTTGATGCAGTATAGCTCAGTGACTCTTATTTGACATTTTATCTGGGACTCACTTTATAAAAATCTAAATTGCTTGGCTGCACATTCTTTACATCTAAACTATAACCCATTATAATATAACATATAATGAAATAGATACTATAATGCACATTGTTGGGTTCTTCTTGGGGGACTCCAGTGAACTACATGATGAGAACAGCTGAGCATGTATTGTGTAGAATTGAGGTCGTTTGTAAAATCTGTCTCGTCTGAAAGCACCTCACACATGCTCAGTTTGCTCCCAGATGTAATTTGTGAAGTTCTCCATTAAATTTCCAGTTAAACATTTTGTATTGGATGCCCGGTGTGTAATAGTTTAAAAGTCTCACAATATCTTACCACATTTTTACTTAGAAGGTACGCCTTTGTTTTGAAGAAATTGCTGCACTTGTACAATTTCGGGTTACAATTACTGTTGTTGTAATTGTGTTGTTGTAACCATCTCTTTTTTTCCTGCAAAAAACATTTTTACTGTTTAATAAACTCTTATTGAACACAATAAGAGTAATATGTATCTGCTGTAAATGTATCATTCAATAGCAACAGTGTGTGTCTTCCAGAAATGTGCTTCTCATCTCAGCTTTGTGTGTGTCTGATGAAAATGTTTCCCCAGTCCCATCACTCTGTGTGTCTGTTGAAACATGCTGCCAGACTATCCTAGGTTTGCAGTTTCATGATTGTATCATCTTTTATCCTCAACTCTACTTTTTAAAAAGGATTTGTCTGGGCTGACAGTTGTAATAGTTTCATTTTTTAGCATAATATATGTTATATAGTTTAAACCATTGTATTTGCAATGTGCTGAACATATCTCTGGTCCTCAAAGGGTTAAACAAATGAAAAGACCATTTTTATTTTTTTGAAAATGATTTTAAGAGTCCAGTAGATTAGGAGGTGATATTTCCAGAGAGAGGATGTGGTGTCCGGCACTCCACATTCATAAATCTTCTCAAGCAAGCACTAGACCCACCTGAATCTGGTATGTCTTTTCCTTTCAATAGGTTCACTAAAAATGTGTGGGTCAAAGTTCTTATCCAAACCCAGCAGCTTAGAGCCACTGCCCAGTTCTTTGTCCATTGTATATAGAGCCTTGTAATTTCTATTTTATTTGTAACCATCCAGAGCCAGTCACTGAATGGTTAATATTATTGTGTCTACAAATGATTGTCTGTAGTTTGATCTCCTCCTTCCCCTGAGTCCCCTCTCAGTAGAGGTTTGTGTCTCTGATACTGTCTCTCTATTTATATTGGGATAATTAGTTTACAACTCTGTTCCAGTGTGTGCGTCTTCTCTTCTTTTTATCTGTTGTTCTTGTAGAGATCTTGTTAATCTATTCACGTTTTTGTTAGTGAATTTATATTTATCTGCCGGGATCTTTATTAGATTTATGCATTCGGTTTCTGGGTGTTCTGTGATTTGTGATCGTGATTGGTCGAAAAATGAACGGTGACTGGCAATTCAATCTCTTTCTCTTGTGTGTAGGTAGCGGTTATCGTGTGGTGTGAACCATAACAATCCCCCAAATCGCTCAATTCCCCCCCAATCAAACTAGGAAACGTATATGTGGTATAAAAAGGCCACAGCTTTATTTATAAATTAACAAACAACTGTAAATAAACCAACCATAAATAATTTAGGTGTAAGTATGCTTATCTTCAAACTAGTCCTTGCCAACCGTACCACCAAAACTCTAGGGTACACCCCCCACCAAGCCATCGGCCCTCCCCCCTCGTCCAAGATACCTGGCCTTCACTTTGGCCTTCAAACTCCACATGCCAACCCCTGGCCACCTTTCCTGGCACGGAGGGCACGCCCAAATACCCAAAACATTTTCGAGGTCAGGGGAGGGACCCGACCCAGCATCTTTCTTTTTCTTTACTCCTCTTCCCAAAAGGTTCGGCAAGGACCATACCCGCCGGCTGTGACAAGAAAAAATTGTTAATGACAAACAGACAAACAACGCAAACAAACAGGGGAGGGAGGGAGGGGACTAGTTACCTTGCCGTTAAATTTAAGATGGCTGAGGTAGCAGACAAAATGTCACCTATTTATATGACCCCACCCTACTCCTTAGCTAAATCACACACCCATACTTCCACCACACCCACCACACCCACACATGCCTCCTATCCGGCTAGCTTTCAGCCCGCCTCCTCTGGGCCTTTGTTGTTCTAGAGATTCTGATATTGTGAGATCAGTTGAAGTCTCTGTTAGTGAATTTCTTTGAATGTCTGGGATCTTTATTCGGTTTCTTTATTACAGTGTCTACTTCCTCCTCATGCCTAGATTCTAGTTCTTTTCATTGTATATGTTTATATGTTTGTTCTGTTTCAGGGTCTGCTTCCACTTCACTCCTTGAATCTGGTTCTTTTTGTTCTTCTAGAGATTCTGGTATTGTAGGATTTGTAGGATTTATTGAAGTCCCTGTTAGTGAAGCTTTGTAAATCCAAGTAGGATCTTTATTTGGTTTCTCTTTTCCATGGTCTTCCTTCTCTTCATTCTTAAATTCTGGTTCTGTTTGTTGTACTAGAGATTCCGATTTTGTGAGATCTGTTAATCTGCTTCGTCCTCATGCCTAGAATCTAGTTCATTTTGCTGTTCTAGGGATTCTGATTTTGTGAGATCTGTTGAAGTCTCTGTTAGTGAATCTCTGTGAATCTGCGTGGGATCTTTATTTGGTTTCTCTGTTCCGTTGTCTGCCTTCTCTTCATTACTAGATTCTTGTTCTGTTTGTTGTTCTACAGATTCTGTGTTTGTAATATCTACAGAAGTCTCGGTTAATGAGTCTCTGTGAATCTGCATGGGATGTTTATCTGTTTTTTCTGCAACGGAGTCTGCTTCCTCTTTACTCCTTGAATCTGATTTTCTTCATTCTTCTTCTACAGTTTCTGGTTTTGTAGGATCTATTGAAGTACCTGTTTGTGAATCTCTGTGTATCTGCCTGAGATCTTTACTTTTTTTCTCTATTCCAGTGTCTGCTTCCTCCTCATTCCCAGATTCTAGTTCTTTTTGTTGTACTAGAAATTCTGATTTTGTGAAACCTACTGAAGTCTCTGTTAGTGAATCTCTGTTCCCTTGTTTGCCTTCTCTTCATTACTAGATTCTTGTTCTGTTTGTTGTTCTACAAATTCTGTGTTTGTAATCTCCACAGAAGTCTCTGTTAGTGAATCTCTGTGCTTCTGTCTGGGATCTTTATTTGGTTTCTCTGTTCCGTGGTCTGCCTTTTCTTCATTACTAGATTCTGGTACTGTTTGTTGTACGACAGATTCTGTGTTTTGTAAGCTCTACAGGAGTTGCTGTTAATGAGCCTCTGTGAATCTGTGTAGGATCTTTATATGCTTTTTCTGCTTCAGAGTCTGCTTCTTCTTTACTACTTAAATCTGGTTTTCTTTGTTCTTCTTCTACAGATTCTGGTTTTGTAGGAGCTACTGAAACATCTGTTAGTGAATCTCTGTGTATCTGCCTGAGATCTTTACTTGGTTCCTTAATTCCAGTGTCTGCTTCGTCCTCATGCCAAGATTCTAGTTCATTTCATTGTACTAGAGATTCTGGGTTTGTGAGATCTGTTGAAGTCTCTGTTAGTGAATCTTTGTGAATCTGCGTGGGATCTTTGTTTGGTTTCTCTTCATTCCTAGATTCTAGTTCTGTTTGTTGTTCTAGAGATTCAGGTTTTGGAAGATCTACAGAAGTCTCTGTTAATGAGTCTCTGTGTATCTGCCTGGCATCTGTGTTTGTTTTTTCTTTTCCATGCTCTGCTTTTTTTTTATTCATAGATTCTGTTTCTGTTAGTTGTTCAAGGGATTCTGGTTCTGTGAAATCAACCAAAATGTTTGTTAGTGAATCTTTGTTTGGTTTCTCTGTTTTATGGTCTGATTCCTCTCCATTCCCAGATTCGGATTCTCTTTGTTCAACGGTCTCTGAATTAGTACCATTTGCTTCAGTCTTTGTTACTGGTTCTGTTTCAGTGGGTTTATTATTTGAGGTTTCCATTCCAGAATCTGCCACTTCTTCACTCTTCAATGATTTGTGATTTATTACTTCTCCCTCACCCACCCCGGTTTGACTAGAAGGTGACATTGCGGTCGGCTGACTTTGCTTTATCGTGAGAAGGCCATGTTTATCTGATGTATGTTGATCTGTTTTTATCTGGTTTTTATTTTCCAGGTTACTTTCTTGAGGTTTGTCAAACATGTTGTTTTCTTTTTTTACTGTAGGCTGCTCCCATGTTATGTTTCCAACTTCTTCAATTGCTTCCTTTTGTGTTGGTGGTATTTTTGTAGAATCAGGATACTTCATTGGCGGATCTTCTGCAAGACTTTGCTCATGTTTATCTGTACATGATTAAAAACAGTTAACAATTTTATCATTAGTGCAGTTAGTTTAGAAACTAGTATGTGACCTTTCCGGCAGCTTTCCAGATTTGCAAAACCAAAGTCACAGCTCTGGGACACTCCTTATGGGAACTAATATGTGCAAGATATAGTATGGTCAGATAAATTCAATTTAGCATAATTGCAAATAGTATAAACTCTGTATTTGTTACGTTTATCTGAATAATGAAGAACTGAAGGACATAATGTCCAGAATAAAAATATATGGTCATGCAATTCATTATTCATTCGATCTGTCTCTTATACCCATCACTCAACAAATGGAATGTAAGGGGCTAAATAGAAGTATTAGAGGTTTCCAGACTATTTAATAACCATAGAGAATCTCTGGAACCCTGCTTTACAGCTCATCCTAAAAGTGGTGGGTGAGAGGTTAAATACAAGACCCAGGAGTTTTCCAGTCCTCCATAATAACCAGAAGGGAGAGCCAGCAAATTGAATGAAGGAGGAAGAAGATAATAAAATGAAGAGGGGGATGGGACAATGACTGTAGATAGGTGCTTATGTTGTTTAGAAATTGGAAGGAGTATTTCCCACCTGGCCAATTTTTTGATTGTAGAAAATTTCCACATAAAATAAAAAAACAGAATATAGAGGAAAATATATTTAAATTCAATAAGGGTGGTGTATACTGTACGTATCAAATTCATATGTTATGTAAGAACTCAATTCTCCATGTTAGTAGGATCTGGTGCATTTGGGCCACCGGCCTCTGTTTGTTTGTTTTCTGTGAAAGGGCTAGTGGTTGTTTTCTGCTTTTGTTGTTTTTTTTTAAATTATTTTCTTTGTTTATCAGCATATACATTTGCCATTACAGAGCTGTTATGCCATGTACCGTATTGGTGGGACAATGAACAGACAGGCAGGAGAAAGCAGGTGGGAGAAAATAAAGTGATCAATGTGGAAATTGAAAGACAGACGGGTAAAGACATGGAGATGACATGGAAGTTATTGGGAGATAAGCAATGGACATGAAACGATATGTGGAAATAAAGTAAGAATTGCCAGGAATTCTAATTAAATTCAAGGTCAAATATTAGGCCAACATAGCTGCACAGATGACTTGCATATTTTCTGTACTTCAGCTTTTTTGGCTTAAAATATAAAATTAATATTCCTGGCAGTTCTCACTTTAGTAAATAGACCCGATATATGTAGACAGTAACCAGTGAGAGTGCAATGAGAGGACTTTTTCCCCTTTGCTTTATTCATGCAATAAGAGCAGGAACTCATTGTTCTAACAGAAGATCATCAGTGATGCTGAATTCCTGCTTATAATGTGTGAATGAAGCAGATGTAAAAGTTGTTTCAAACTCCCCTCATTCCATTTTTGCATGTTGCTGTGTCTGAGAAGTCAGAGCCATGACTGAGGCAGGAATTAAGGGATTCGGGATTTAAAACAGCAGGAATGTATCTGTTTCTATCATTTTCTATCTTTTTCCCTTCCCTCACCTCGTGTGTTATACTGGATATCAGAAACGCTCTTTGTTTCATTGTTTCTTATGTTTTACATGTACTGAATCACTTTCACTGTTTGTTTTATAACTTTGTTGCCAAACTTTACGAGTTCATTTAAATATATCATTAACAAGTTGAAATATTCATATGAATTATGTAATTAGTTTATTAGTTACATCTTCCCCTCAATTAATTTATAACCTTTCTGTTCGCAGCTGAAGTAGGAAACATTTATAATACACAGAAGTGTCTAGGGATACCAGGAGCTAGCCTAGAATGTGGCTATAAAAAACTAAAATCCAAGAGGAAAAAACTCACAGGCACTCCAACTTCAAGCCGCAGGCAGATTTATTATGACAGAATGCAACGCAACGTTTCGACCGGAAAGGTCTTTCCGGTCGAAACGTTGCGTTGCATTCTGTCATAATAAATCTGCCTGCGGCTTGAAGTTGGAGTGCCTGTGAGTTTTTTCCTCTTGGATTATTGTACTGGGATTGCTGGTCCTGCTCTGGAGCACCCTTGGCCGTTGGGATTGGGTGCGGTTCTCATCACTTACTCTGCATAAAAAACTAAAATGTCTATAAAAGAAGGTATACTAATAGGGATGCTGTACCTTTAAGAGAAAACTAGATATCAGAATAAAGACAATATGAATATAAATAGATGGAGAGGTAGATGAAAAAGTGCGAGATAGTAGAAAATAAATTAATTTAGAATAAAATAAATAAATAAATAAATTAAATTAAATTAAAAAGTCGAAAAAATGAAAAAAATAAATAAAAATAAGTATAAAAGTGAAAATAATCAATAAATACTACAACATACAGAAGTAGAAGTAAAAATGGAGAAATGGTAAAAATGTACAAAAAGAATAAAATAAAAATGCAAATAGGGGTAAAAACAGAAACAAGTTTTTGTTTCTGTTTTTACCCCATTTGCATTTTTATTTTATTCTTTTTGCACATTTTTACCATTTCTCCATTTTTACTTCTACTTCTATACTGCCTCCCTTGGTAAACTCATTAGCTCCTTTGGCTTCCAATATCATTTCTATGCAGATGACACGCAAATCTACCTGTCCTCTCCTGATCTCTCCCCGTCCCTCTTGACTAGTGTCTCTGACTGCCTCTCTGCTGTTTCTAACTGGATGGCTGCCCACTTCCTTAAACTAAACTTGACCAAAACTGAAATTCTGGTCTTTCATCCCTCAAGTGTTGTTACTCCTGTGTCTGTCTCCCTCCAAGTCAACAGTGCTACCATCAGCTCCACCACGCAGGCTCGCTGCCTAGGTGCTCTCTTTGACTCCGACCTCTCCTTCAAGCCTCATGTTCAACCTATCGCCAAATCCTGTCATTTCCATCTGAACAACATTGCGCGCATCCGCCCCTACTTAACGCCAGATGCGGCTAAGGTGTTGGTCCATTCCACTGTCCTTTCTCGCCAGGACTACTGTAATCCGCTTCTCAGTGGTCTTACATGCTCCCAACTTGCGCCGTTACAGTCCATAATTAATGCGGCAGCGAGGCTCATCTTCCTGTCCGCGCGCACCTCCCATGCCTCACCCTTCTGTCAGTCCCTACATTTTCTTCCTATAAAATATAGAGCTCAATTTAAAATTCTGGTTCTTGCTTTCAAATCGCTACATAATGCTGCTCCCACCTATCTATCCTCCCTTGTACACAACTATGTCCTGTCTAGGTCCTTACGATCTGTTGAAGACTTACGTCTATCTTCTGTCCGTACGCCCACCTCTGATGCTCGCCTTCAAGATTTCTCGAGGGCTGCTCCGTTCCTGTGGAACTCGCTTCCCTCCTCCTTTAGATGCTCACCCAGTCTCCACTCCTTCAAAAAATCGTTAAAAACCCACTGCTTCATAAAAGCGTATCAATTAAACTGTTAATAGCTCCCAACTGATTCCTCTTCTGCAACTGTCACTAGTCTAATACTATCCTTACCTTTTTATGTCTCTAGCATGTAAGCTCATTGAGCAGGGCCCTCAACCCTTCTGTTCCTGTGTGTCCAACTTGTTTGGTTACAACTACATGTCTGTTCGTCCACCCATTGTAAAGCGCTGCGGAATTTGACGGCGCTCTATAAATATCATAATAATAATAATAATAATAATGAGAGGTCCAGGTCACAGTGACCAAGAACACATTGATCTAGAACCCGCTTCCTTCCTCCGTTAGATGCTCACCCAGTCTCCACTCCTTCAAAAAATCGTTAAAAACCCACTTCTTCATAAAAGCGTATCAATTAAACTGTTAATAGCTCCTGACTGATTCCTCTTCTGCAACTGTCACTAGTCTAATACTATCCTTACCTTTTTGTGTAATTTTACCCCACTCCCTCTAGCATGTAAGCTCATTGAGCAGGGCCCTCAACCCCTCTGTTCCTGTGTGTCCAACTTGTCTGGTTACAACTACATGTCTGTTCGTCCACCCATTGTAAAGCGCTGCGGAATTTGATGGCGCTATATAAATACCATCATAATAATAATAGAAGAATTAGTATAGAGTTTTAATTTAGCTGCGATGAGATCTTTGGTTACTTTAATCAAAGCAGTCTCAGTAGAATGGAGGTGGTGGAATTCAAAACAAAAAGAATCGAGCAGAGAGTTTGCATTGAGAAAGCAAGCCAAACAGGTAAAGGAAAGTTGTTCCAGATACTCTGAGTTGAAAGGGAGTAGAGAAGAGATATTGGACTGTAATTAGAAGGGAAAGATAAGTCAAAAGATGGCTTTTTTAAGATGGGTATGACAGTAGTATGTTTAAGTGGAGCAAGGACAATGCCAGAAGAAAGAGAGCAGTTGAAGATATGCATTAAGTACTCCATAAGATAAAGGGTGAGAGATCAGATAAGGTGAGATGGAATGGGATCAAGCGGACAAGTGGAGATGAGGAGATGCCCAGCCACCTCCTCTTCAGTAGCCAGGCAGAAGGCCTGAAGGCTGGAAAGGCATGGTCCAAGAATGGTTGAGAGAAGATAGTGGAAGGAAGGAGAAGGAGAGAATAGTGAGGAGCAAAGGGGGAGAATTTAATATTTTAAATATTAAAATATTTATTAAATATATATTATGTATTTAAGTAATATATATCTATATTGAGTCAGGTAAATATATACATGTCAACACTGAGAGCCAGTGTAATTTAAGATTTAAAAAAGTAGAAATGTATCTGTTTCTATCATTTAATATGTTTTTTTCTCTTACCCTTACCTCTTGTTAAAATACTGGATATCAGAAATACTTTTTCTTTCATTGTATCTTGTGTTTTACATCGCACTGGATTACTTTTACTCCGTGTTTTATTAATTGTTGCCAAACTTTCAAAATAATAAAATAAAATTACAAAAAAAAAATTAAAAGTAGAAAGGTAGATATGAAGTATGTTATATGTATATTATAGTTTTACGTTTACCTTTAAGAGGCATCATTTCGTCTGAGGATGGACTGATCATGTATGTTTGTCCTGTAAAAACAAATGAAAATAGCAGATAAAAAGAGCTGATTGTGATGATTTTTGTCTGACTCTAGTTTTTACTTCCCATTGACTTTCTATTTCGGAGGCAATGTTAAAATCCTGGTAAAAAAGTGTCCGACTCACTGAATCCTACTTATTAAAAGTTGATTTCTGTTTTATTATTCACAAACATTCTATTCTGCTTGTTTCATATCTAAATATAATTACTTCAATTTTTCTTTAAAAATAAAAAAACAATGAAACTCAAAATATGTAAAACTTGTTTTAATATTTAGAGTGAATAAAAACGTAATGCGTACTTACTGTGCATCCTGCGTTTTCGATATAAAAATATACCCATTGATACCAACATTATCGGCATGATGACTCCAACAGTTACAATTAACAATCTTGTGTTTGTTTTACCTGTAGGAAAATGTGATATTTTTATTTGTATAAATTTCTATGGAGATGGAAAGAAAGAAAAAAAAAATAATTCAGCTGGTGTTGTGACCAGATCTGGTCTGGCATATCATACCATGGCCCCAAAGTGAACAAGGTGTAAAACACCAGACAACACTTGTTCTCATCCACCTTCATACTTGTGATAATCGCTATGGATGCCTGGCCTGGTCCGCAGACTGTATGGAAGCCGCTAGACTAGTGTTTGACAACTGGTTTTTGTACTTTTGATTGAGCCCGAAGATGACAACACATCATCGATTGTTTGTGATGGATGATCACAAACAATCAAAAGCAAGATGTTATCTGTTATACAGTATACATATATACGTGTGGATTTAAAGGGACATTAAGCACCATAACCACCACAGTCTGTTTAGTGATCATGGTGCTAACAGGCTACTTGTACTTTTCATTGGTTTTGTGTCAAACTGTGTTTGGTTGGTTTGACAAACCTCTAGGAATCTGAGGAAAGGCTCCTCACAACGTTGATTTCATTCAAAACCAGAAGGCATAGACTGAGAGAGTCAACTTGCACATTTAGCGGGTGGGGGCCCTTATTAATTATAAAATATGGGGGTTAGACTTGTCATTCCCCACTCTCTTCCCCAAATAAATAGTGAGAACCTCCTCTGGTGTCAAGAGGTCTCTAGAAAGTGAGACTTGACTGTCAGACCGCTCTGATTGGTTGGCTTACTAGCACAACCAATCAGAATGCTCTTGGTCATACTGCAAAGTCTGGGAAATTTTCCCATGTTTTGCGATAGCTGTCATAGTGTGGGAAATCCTATAAAATTGCTTTCCCCACTATGAGTGCTCATTCTGCAGCAAGCCCTCCATGGGTGAAGATGGGCTATTTTTTATTGCAGCATGTTTTTATATTTTCTGGCAGATTTTAATTGTAATTGTTTTGCAATTGGACCTTTTAAAAAAAAAAAATGTAATTAGTGGCATTGGTTATTATGGATTTTTATTTGGCCTTTTTTGGGGCTGGAGAACAGAAGAATTAGAAGAAAGAAGGCTTTTGACAGTAAGCATAATATTTATTTTAACAGGTTTTAGATCTATTGGGACCCCTCCTCACTATTATTATGGTGAGGGAGGTAGGTAGGGACTTTATTTTACGAGGCGGCTAGGGGATTGGGAACCCCTAGCCACCCTGGAGGTGCTCACTAGTGTTGGGGAAAATATTATGATTATATATATCTCATTAATATGTGCTTGATTAAGTCTGTGTGTATGGGAGATCAGGAATTATCTTCAAAGGGAGTTTCTGTTTAGATAGTTGGAAAGATACAGCATCTGAACGGCACCACGTTTATCACATTTACATATCAGCTAATCTTCAAAGGAGTCCCTATCTAGGAAAACAGTCACACCCTAGGTTAGAGGCAAAGGGATGGCTGGGAGAGTTAACACGTAAATAAAATAACAGGATAGACAACACTTTGGGCCTTGGGAATGGAAATCACATTTATATATCAATTGAGCTGAGGAATTGGCTATTTACAACATGGGAACCAATTCCTTTAAAAATATAAGATACTGACATCACATTAAACTAGGTTGGATAGCACACACGCTGCACATAACATCTCACAGCACATACACAATGTAGCAGATATTATTAGATAGATGGAATGTATGAGTGTTATGAATGTATTTTAACTATAACTCTGTAATATTCTTCTTCTGTAATATTTAACTGGGCAGATTCTAAGTAAAGATTTCTCTCTGGTAAGAACTATGGTGGCTGTTTATTTGTAATATCGGGTAGAATACCTTAGTAGAGCTAGTCATATATTTATCTGGACAAAGGGATAAAGATATATGTTAGTTCTTGGAAGAGGTGACAAAGGGATATTACATTCACTATTAATACACAACACAGAGTGGATTTCTCTCAAAAGGATACCAATTGGATGTATTGGTGGTGAGAGAAGAATTATACAACAACTAGTATTAGAGGGGTGGGCAATGGAATGTCCACCCCCTATTTTATAATAAGCAAGGACCAAAATGGGTGTGGGTCAGGGTTGTTACAATAGGTCTTCCCCATGTTTTGTTAATATTAGTGCCCTCATCCCGCCAACCATTACCGCCACATTATTAACCCTCATACCACCGAGGGTTTTTTACTATTTGCTCACTGGCTGCTAGCACTGCCTCAGGGGAAAATGTTTGATTTTTTTGTTAATCTGGGCTCTGCGCCTGGAATTAATTCATCTGAAATTTTGACCAAATTCAGGTCCATTTAGGGCCTGATCTAAAAAAAATGGACATTCATGAATTCCATCAATTATGTCTTGTTTAATTACAATATCTGATTAAACATTGCATAAGCCTGCCACAACGCCAATGTGCCCTTTTCTTGGCAGGTCCTATTCTAACAATTTAATGCCTGCTCTAATTCCTTGCTAGGGTAGGACCTGCCAAAATGGGGTAACTGGCATTGTGACAGGCTTATGCAATGTTGGATCCTGAGCTTCCGGGTCTGGACTGAAACGTTGATGTAAAGTTTACCATTGTGAAAATAAAGTAAGAAGAATTTATAGAAAAAGCCCTGTGACTGCCCTCCTTCATGTTTTCTATATTTCTAAGGCTGAAGGAGCACCGAGGCAAGAACTACTGAACTGTCAGTGCAACACGGTAGAATAGGAATATATATATACATGCCTAAATAAAATAGAGAATACACAGAGATTGAATACCGTTATTTTCAAATTCCAGCTGGAAGTCTTTGTAGAGTGTTCCAAAGAGAGACTCATGTTGGACCCTGCAGGAGAAGGTCCAATGTTTGTCCTCCTCGGTGGGTATTATGGTTACTGTGCTTTTCACACAGTACGTGCCATCTGCGTTCCTCTGGGGTGTGGATACTGTATAATTGTTGAGGATCTTCCCATCCCTGAACTATTTAATGTCAATGTCCACAGGGTAGAATCCGGTGATGGAGCTGCTCAGAATACTCTTCTTACTTAAAACAGCAATTCTCCCAGTAATATTTATCTCCGGAGGAGCTGGAATGCAATGCAATAAAAAGAGTAATTTATTCCCCTACATAGTCTATATTTCCGTAAATCTGACCTTTTATATTTCTAGTGATGGATTGTACACCTGGCAATCTCACTTCTCACACTGCACTTTACATTTTGTGTAATTATATCACACTGAAGCCTACCTATGGGATCATTGGCTCATGTCTTTGACTATTTCTCTGCTGTCACTGTTCTCAGGCTCAGAAAGAATCTCTCAAAAAGCTCAGCAGAGTGATCACATTTGCTCTGCAACACTGGTAACAAGCCAGAGCAAAACTGCCCCAGTGGTCGATGATTCACCTGTGTCAGCTCTGTGCGCATGTGCAGATGTCACACTTTACATACTAGGAATACTCCTTGCATCAGTGATATATATTCTGATACTGATACACCCATGCCCATTACAAACTGACTTTACAAAAAGTTGGGAGGTACGGTTTTGTAGAGTTTTATATAGCTTTTTTCCCCTCTGTTTTCTTCCTCAGTATAAATTGCTAAATGTTATGTGTGGTTATCTTGCGTGTCATGAACAGATGAGTGATGTTTTCTTTTTTGGTGCCTCCATGGAACAAAATGTATACAAGGCTAAATATCTTAATCCATTTTGTTTATTGTTAAATGACCATTTGTCTTCTTACATTTACTTCTAAAGTTGTATACTACACTATAAGGCTTTGTTTTGTCCACTTGTGTCTTCTGTGTTCATTATTTTCTCACGTGCCCTGAGAACCTGCTGGTTTTATATCTACCAATAAAGACTGTATTGGTGTCTGGACTGTATTGGTGTTTTGTCCAGGTATATTGAAGACTAAAAGAGCTATATTATTAGTACTTCACGAAAGACTGGTATCTCTACTTGTTGGTGTTTGTGTAAGAATACTTTTTTTGCTTTTGGCACAAATAACTTCTATCTATGTGCACGCTTTTGTTTTGGTGGTGATAGAGGGACTCTCACAATTTAGGTGGTTCTCTGCCTTGTTCCACCTCACCTCTCTGGGATTACTCAGCCTTTCCCTTCCTTTTGTGTTTTCCTGATATTTATATATTAGCTTTTGGATTTGAAAGAGAAACATGAGTAATGCTCTTTAGAGATATAAATAGAATTCATTAGGGGTGGGCGATAGCAGAGGAAAATAGCGACACAAAGTAATGTCCTCCGATCTGAACTACAGCCCAGAGATACCCCCAGATGTTGACAATTTACCGTCATTTTTGTTGACCATTTACCATCATTAAAGCTAAAAAACTATGTTCATCTACAACTCTTAACAGACTGTATTCATAACAAATAAATCTGATTTTTTAATAAGAAAATTTGTGTATGTGTGACTGTTATATATTGAGTGTCATATGAAGCATTTAGTTTATGGGACTACCAGTCCCATATTTGTTCAATATAGAGGAAAGTTAAAAGTTAAGCAGTAAAACAATAAAATTCCTTGGAAGTGACTGATCCCCTTTAAAATATAACAATACTGTGCTGTGCTGTGTTTGAACAGTTTATTGTCATCTTATTCACATGCAGCACCTCACTCTGTCCTCAGTTTGTTTTATCATTATTCACCTCCAAATAAAAAGCTTTTAGAATGAACTGAAAATGCTTGTAAATATTAATGGGGCACTATAGGCACCCAGACCACTTCGTATCAATGAAATAGCTCTATCCAACCGCAGTAGTGGAGCTTTCCCCCATACATTAGTTGGGACTTAATGCTGGGAGTAGATCTGATTTATTTGGGCAAAGCACACAGAATTTATACACAGATCCCCAGCGTGGGATCTTCATACAGAACAAAAGAGACTCCTCCTAGGCATCTCTGTGTCTGAAAGATAA